GAATTTAAACTGAAAAACTATGGTTCATTTTTGCATTGAAAAATGCGTGATTTTCAAATGAAATATTTTTTTATGAAAAAATCTGTCGTTTAATTTTGAAAAAAATTATTACTTCTTGTAACTAATGATCAAAATGTTCTTGATAATTTTTTGAAAATTTTTTAAACGACGCATTTTGAATTTATAGAAGAAAATCTACCTTCCCCCTCTCTCCGTAAGTTACATTTCTCACAGCGTCTTTCAGACTTGGGACGAAAACAATGCTATGATTCTACAAATACAAATAAAAATTCCTAGCTGGAAAGTATATTTTACTTTAAAAATGTAATGTACATTATATTTATCACAAATATAAAACTTTACATCTGCATTTAAATGAAGATGAATAAGCAATTTCTGCAATTTTAAGACCCCCCCCCCCCCTCCATTCTTCTCTGCAATGCAGTACATTCGATCTTGAAAAAAAAAAAAAAAAAAAATCGGTTACGTCTGCATGATAAATATAATTGGCATATTGAACTCCTAAAGTAATATCCTTCATTCGGGTATACAGATTAGATATAGACTACTAATATTTTTTGTTATTCTAAAAACTATTTTTTTTTTGTATTTATATTTAGTAAAACCATTTTTCTAAGGATTTTATGACCACGTGTCCGGTTTGGAGTTCATGCACACAGGTGCAGTTTCAAACCTTTATATGACCTACTTGCATTGAATATTATTTTTTAAGTGAACCAACAGTGGTGTATGTACAACTCTCTTGTGATGAAAATGGAATATATGTACATTTAGGTTTTAAATTATTTCTGTTTTCAAACGCAGAGGGGTGCACCCCCCCCCCCCCCCCCCCCCCCCCCCCCGGATATTGTATCCTCCTTTTGTTTCAATGAATGGAAATGATGTATTCGTCCATGTTAACTTCAGTCGTACCAAATTGTAAATTATTTATCAGTATTAAAATTATTCATGTTAATCATCTACAATGGTATCATCTACATTGGTATCAATCGTTTTGTTTTTATTCGAGGAAATGCGAACTGATACTGTTTATAGTAAAAGATTTTCTCAGTGGGATGCAACCGTTGTATTAATTTCAGTAAATAATTTTAAACTGTTGATACTTACTTTAATTTGTATAAACTTTGGCTTTTAGTTCTTGTGTTCCTTGCAACACACTGTAAAATCTTTAATGTATCTGTGTATTTGTGAGGGAAAAAACTCATAATTCTTCGGAAAACAGGAGGAATAACTCAGCTAAGGGGAGGAAAGACATACACCTCAACATTTTTAGAGTTGTTTCTCTTTGATCAGTGACCTTCTGAAAACGGTTAATCTTTTTCATTTTTTTTTTCAAAGAAAAGAAAGAAAATGTTTATTTTCGTAATATGATATTTAAACATACCGGTAATATTTATTCTCAATGTTATGCGGCCGATTGTAACGGGAAAAAGCAATGTAGAGTACCATTAACATTTTTAGATTTAAAAAATGCCTTAGTATATATCATAAATACAATATTAAAGAATTAATTAACTAAATTTAAATTAAAGAGGTTTAGGGAACCTGTCCTTTTTTTCTTTTTTTCTGGAGGTGGGAGATTTATTGCAATTGCGCAAATGATCAAGGATAGGATTTGGTATTCCTAAAGAAATAAAAAACCTCTATTCTATTTTTTTTTACATTAATTACATTGGGATCGTATCGCTCGTCATTTTGACGCTTCGTAATTAACGTCAAATTTAATGTTATGTTAAACGTTTTATTGAAATCGCAAGAGTTATCTCCCCCAGTGTGTTGTACGTCTTTAAATCCACATATCAGAGAATGTAAACATCATTCAGAATTGACCTGAACTTCAAAACAAACTTCATTTGCAGACAGAGGTGTTAATTAATTTCAATGTGACAGATAAAGATAAATGCTTTGGATTTTCTTCAAGAGAAAAGTTAAATAATCCCAAGAGACTCATTGCAGCCTTTCATAGTTTACAATAGGAACATTCTCAGCAGTTATCTCTCTTTGCCAATTCACTCTTATATAAAGTTAAGGAATCTACCCCACCACCCCAGCTTCAAACCAGATGACACAGAGAACCAAACTTAGCATCAAAATATGTCTTACTGCCTATTCAACCAACATACCAAATTTGAACTTAATTGGTCAACCCTAAAAAAAGTTATTAGAAAAAAACAGAAAATATGTGGACGGAAGAATGACAGACGGACAGACAGACAGACAGACGGACAGACAGACAGACAGAGTGATTACTATAGGGCACCCGCAAATCCTTGCGGGGCCCTAATAAACCACATAAGCAAGGTGACATAGAATCATTCATGTGTGAGAATTATAAAAATTTAATGTTGTTAAAATTTTAAATTCTTACAATGAACACCTTTTGCCTCATTGAAGATTTCATACTTCCAAGCTTATTTCTCATATATATTGGTACTATGTATGATGACTTTATTCAGGTAAAATCAGAAGTCTTGTTTGTACCTTATCCTCATCATTTTTTTTTTCTACTTTCGGTTTAAAATTTTTAAATTAAATGATCCTGATATAAATTATTTAATAATTTACAAGTTAATCTATCTTAAACATTAGGATCAATACAATCAAAATAAAAAGCAAAACAAAAAAAACATGACGCTGGAAAACAAAGCAAGCTGTCGTGCCATGCTAGCTTGCTTTAGATTTAACACTATTAAACACTTGCATGTGTTGAAACGATGTTTTTCAAGGAGGCCGCCATTGCTGAGACTAAAACTAATACCAGAGCCGATGATGGAAATTGGAGAAAATTCCGGAAAAAATATGAAAATTGCCGAAAAAAATGTTTAGGGTCGGGGGTGTAAAATAGGGATGGTCGGGTAACTGGAACCACACATATTTTTTAATTTGGCCTAATGTACATTACAAGGTTAGGTTAGGTAAGACCATCATTGTATGAGTTTTGTCGGGGGGGGGGGGGGGGGGGGGGATTTGTATCTTGCTTTGCTCTAGCTATAAAGTGAACAGGTCATTTACTCTGAGTTCTAGAGCAGCATTGAAGCATTTTTCTCTCAAACACTTCAAGACAATTTTCCCAGTTAAAACTGTTCATAATTTACTTCGTCGTTGATAACAACAGAAAATAATAGAGGCTGTCTCATCAATCTATCACTGACCAGAGAGTGTGCATGAAGAAGCGCACCCTCTAGTAAGAGAGTACATGTAATATGAATTTCTTTAAAACAAATCATCTAACTATTATTCCAAGAATTATAATCTACACTAGCACACTTGTAGTTTCATCCCAGCGTAACTAGTCAGCCCATGGGCTAACTAATAAATGACCAAATAGTGCCATGTCTTAGATATTCGTTAATCTGTAGTATTTGAAACTTCATATTACATGACATATGAGAAAGTCAATTGTACATCTGGCGTAATGAAGTATCGCAACTATGTCGTTCCTTAATGACGGAAACACCTCTCTGTTTAGCACCTCTCTTGCTTATACGTTCCATAGATATTGATTGATTAGTCAGGCAAGCTTTTTTACAAAGCTATTACTTGTATAATATCAACTGTTGTGGAAACGATACTTTCTGTATATACATGTAACACTCTTTACATACTGAACTTTTCTTGTCCCATCTTGCGAAGATGCTTAAAAGTGAAAATGTTTCACCCCTTATCTATGACTTATTAGTTTTAAAGCGTGTTTTCAATATCAATATCCTCTCTTCATTTCATACAAGCTGCCATTTTCCAAGGACAACTGATTTCATTTTCAATTTTTTGATAGATGTATCGTTTCATACCGATATTTCAATGCACGTATCGTAATCCGTATCTTAGCAGAAAATATCGGTATGTATCTGTGTATTGGTATATCGTCCCACCCCTACCAAGGATACTCTGTGCCAAGTTTGGTTGAAAATGGCCCAGTAGTTCTGGAGAAGAAGATTAAATTGTGAAAGTTAATGACAACACCGACAAGGACAGACAACGGATAAATTTTGATCAGAAAAGCTCACTTGAGCCTTTGGCTCAGGTGAGCTAAAAATCAATTCTATCTATAATAGTTTGATAACTAATATTATTACACAGTTAATAAATAGTCATAATAAAAAGAGGCACAGGGGCCACATCGCTCACCTGAATTCTAATGAGATCTAATCAGATTCTAATGACCTAAATATGAATCTCACACACACATGTACTACCCTAAGTTGTATAAATACTTTATACTTATTGAAGTCAAATTTAATTTTATTAGTCTATTTAATTCATAATTGATCTTGTATGATGAAGTTGGATCATATTTAATTGTCTGTTAATTTAGATGCCCAAATAATGTTCATGCTGAATTGTTAAATGAATTACAACTGAATACATGACGATAGTAAGATTTTTTATTTTTCCCCAATTTCATCAAAAAGTCAAAAAATTTTCCAATTCCCTAAAACTGGCATTTCCCAAAATAGGCTGATAAGTGATAAATCCCTGTCTTTAACAATTTTGAATCTCTGGACTTCATTTACATTGTACAATTTTCGCATCCATTACCATGATAGATACTTCTAGTAAAACTTCCAACGAACTTGGTTGGTTGCATCAATGTTTCTAAAATCCAAGAACTAATGAAAATGTACATTGCAATTAATGAATAAAGTAGGAATAAAGTGAAGCAAAAACAGACAAATAACTTGAGTAGCTTTCAAAATAATACTAGTTTCTGTAGTGCTCTGACTGGTAAAATATTCAAACTTTATAGAATGACAACCAAATCCAAGGAGATAGTAATTGTTTACACTACATTCCACCCATTTTCACAAGGTGAGACAATAAAATGATTTTTCATAGGCATACTTTATATACAAGTTCACCCAATATAGGCAGAATCAGTAATTTAATAAAGTATCACAGACTGGAACCAGTATCATCTCAAGCTCTCATGTCTGCTTTAACTATTTAAGCACATGTACACTGTAGACAAATTTGCATACCTCTTGTCTTTTGATGTCTCTGTGTGACAGCTGTGAGGGGATATGTCCCTCTGTGGTACTCATCATCTCACTCCATGTGCGACTGAGTCGCCGCTTTGCAGGGGAAGGCTGGGGGGCCTTGTATGGGGTCACATTGTGTTTGGTAATAGGGGATGGGGGAACTTTAAAGCTGATTGATCTCTGAAATATAGATACATGTACTATTTGTATATTCAATGTTTAAATGTTTGACCCTTGAAACACAATCTTTAACGTTAACTGGAATACTGACAGAGCCATACAATTAAGGGGTATACATTAACTCTCAGATTCCCTGACATTCCGGCAAGTGAACTCAAACTTTGTTTTGTCTGCAAGTAAAACTTGGTTGCCTCTAAGTTTAGAAATAAACTAGAGGTACTGTGAGCAAGGTCACAAAATAATACCATCCCTCCCTGGTCCAAGAATTTTATACTTTTTCTGCCAGTCACGTTGAACTTGCCAGAATGACCTTGGGTCAAAGTCATGACACACCCTCAGGTCATAAACAATCTCTGTACCAAGTATGAGCTTCCAATAATTACAAGGATTACAAAGTTATAGCTGGTCAAGATTACATGGAGACAGACAGACGGACAGATGGACTACAGAAAGCTCAGGTGAGCTAAAAAGTTGGGTCAAGGTCAAAGAAAAGGTCAAGGTAAAAAATGTTGATGCAGTTTAAAATCAATCACTTCAGCACAAGAAGTATGATAATTTATAGTGATTTCTTTCTTATAACTGAGCTAAACACAGATGTCAAAGTTAAATGGAAAGGTCAGGTTCGAAACTGTTGATGTGATTTAATAGCTTTCATCAATATGTACAAGCATGATAAGCATATGAAGTCTGATTAAAAAATAATTTGAATAGTTTTCTTTTCTTTCTTACAAATTTAGGAAAAGTGAGGTCAAGGTCAAAGGAAAGGTCAAAGTCAAAAAATGTGGATGAATAGCTCTCACCAATATGTACAGTACAATTCGTTTTTTATCATAGCGGTTTTATATCATACTTCTTTTTTTATCATAGATATCTGAAACACAAAACCATTTCTTAATAATTCATTATAAATTTCGTCTGTTATTATCATAGGTAAAAGTATACACTTCGCTTACTATAATAGAAAATTTCCGTCCGTAATATTTTTTTCACACCTTTTCACTCTTGGGACAATCAACAAAACAAAAGATGACACCTATCTACACCTGTGGTTCATGCACTGTCGCTTGTCTATACACAATGGTTTGATTTTCACTTTGAAATTTGCCGATAGTGAAAGACTGGGGAGATTAGTCACACTTCAGTGCACTTACCTGAGCGATTGACAGGGAGTCTGTTTATTTCATAAAGTACATGACAGGATAACACGAACTCTTTTTTTCATAACTTATTTTCTTCTTATCTTAATCCTGAATTGTACGTTCGTAATAAATACGTTTTACCAAATGTGTTGAAAGTAAATTAAGTGTCAATATTAACCCAAGCTTTCTTACGCTTGGTGTTCTGGATCAATGTTCATAGTTAATTACATTTACAAAACTACCCGATTAATTAAGAAATAATTAAGTGAAATTAACTCTTTCACCAGTCTGTCCAAGCGGCTTTGAATGCATATGCTCATCAGTGTATCAATTAATTTTAATTATACGGCGACATTAAGTGTAAATAGGTAAATTTTTTTATGTCTACTTTGGATGAATAAAAGAAACAATTTGAATGCATGCTTTGTTGCTGTGTTAATTTATTTAATATGTGACCAAAAAAAAAAAAAACCGAAACGAAACGAAACATTGGTAATTTGAATTAACCATAAATTGAAAATGAAAGTAGATCAAAATAAACAAGATGGATGCCAAGGGATCTAGAAGATTGAGTTTGAAGAGTATTAAGCTTTATTTAAGTGAATTTATTTATAATAAAAAGTTGAAACAGTAAGTAAATATTGTGAAATGATATGTTAGTTAGCTTGTATTTCAAATAAACCTAAAAAATCGAAATTATATGTAACGTAAGATGTATAATACATCCAATAATTTACACAAATGTCGTATCGTCAGCCGTCCGACATGAATTTCAGCCGACTATGGTTATTATAAAAGTCGCTTATTATAAAGTTTTGGCCTGACAAATAAACTATGATAATAAACGAATTGTACTGTATCAGCATAAAAGGTTTGATAAAAATGTCTTGAATAGTTTCTTTGAAACTGAGTTAAACATAATTTTTAAGGTCAAGGTCAAAGGAAAAGTCATATTGATAAAGTTGAATAGCTCTTACTAATATGTATCAGCATATAAGGTTTATTAATATTATCTGGAATGGTTTCTTTGAAATTTTGCCAAACAAAAATTTTTAAAGTGACATCAGGGTCAAAGGAAAGGTTAAGTCAAAAGTTGAATAGCTCTCACCAATTTGTATCAGCATATAAGATTTGATAAAAACTTGAATAGTTTCTTTGAAACTGAGCTAAACATAAGTTTTTGAAAAGTGAGGTCAATGTGAAAGGAAAAGTCAAGGTCAAAAAATGTTGATGCAGTTGAATAGCTTTCATCAATATGTATCAACATGAGTAAAGTGACTCAGGTGACCTAATGACTGCATTTAAAACGAAGTAAAATAAGTAAGAAAGTTGTACACAAACTATTTCCAACTAACATTGTTAAAAACAAAAACTGAATGCGCACCTTGGCACCACCAACAGTTGTTTACACTTCAATGCAGCTATGGTGCATGGCGAAAGCCCTTCCCAATCATTGCAACATAATGCCTAGACTAGCATAAAATTTACATCATTATAAAAGGATATGTGGTGACAATGCTTGATGCATTGTCATCTAAAATTGAACAGTTTTGAATTAGGGCCAAAAAAGGCCCTAAGTGAACCTTGTTCTTTCTGACATTGAGTGTATTTTAGATTTGCTTGCTTACTTGAAATTCATTTTCTCGCTTGATGGACTTTGAAGGAGACAAAAGATTGGCAATGGAAGAAACTCTAAGCATGGACTTCCGGCTCTTTTTCTGCTAGAAAAAAAATCAAAACAATAATATCACAAAGTTTATAAATGCAATGTTGATGATAATTGTCACCCTAAATTTTTAACTTCAGAAATGAAACTTCCACCACCACATCATAATTATGCCTGTTTTATCAAGCTTCATATGTGCTTGATTGTATTGAAATTTGTACAAAATGGAAACTTGTAATCTTTATCAGATTCAACCCAATCTAGTGAAGAAACTATTTAGCTACCTATGTTTGATTACACCTGTAAAATACAGGTGATAGACATGCAGGATTATAATACAAGCAAGCCTTCCCAATTATTTGCTGCTACTCAGCATGGTCACACAAGACTTTCTTCTCCAGAGAATGACAACATTTTATTTTTTTTATTTAGATATCAGGGGTGTCATTGGGATCATCCACCCCGGGCTACCGTTCTTTAAGGTCCGGTTAGTGGTTTTTGGAGATAGCCTCTTGGGCTAGTAAAAAAAATCAAAATTACCCATGTAATGCAAAAAAAGCACTGCAGATATTTTCACTGTATAAATTCCCATCCAATGAAAGAATTCCAAGCAGCAAGCTCCTATTGTTCATAAATATCTTTCTTCTTGCAGTACTAAATGACTAAATGATCAATTTTCCTAATCTGAATTATTTTTTGTCAGTTTGATACACAGTACAAAATCTCCATTTTCGGCTTGGTTCATTTTTTGGTTGGGATTTTTTTTCAGTCTGATGTGTCATTTGTAAAATCACGCTACACAGCATGGCTTTAATTCTAGAAATGTGATTTTTGAGGACTAATAGAATTGAATAATCATTAACAGAAAATTCATTCTAATCAATTTCTTCTACTCAATTTGTTACTGGTTTTAGTGAAACAGAACATAAAACAACTTTGAATTGTTGCTGCTATGTAAGCATTTTCAAACACTTTTTCAAGGACTGGGTCAAAAACAAAGCACTTTTCATGGTTGATCCCTGAGTACATTACTTGTGTATTAGACCTTAGCTTAGATTAGAGCTGAGGCTTGGTTGTCCTCTACTAGACTTGCTCTAATTAATACTTTTTATTTATTAAGATATTGACTATGAATAAAACATGAGGTAGCCTGGATCAGAGAAGGCCTTTACCTGTTTGAATGGACCCTGGGACACTATTTGTTTGAAAAGAGGACCCCTAATAGCTGCAATATGTGCCGGGTCAGACTAAGACTCAACCCTATGTTTAATTAATTAAAATGTGTAAACTTGGCTCAGAAAAATGGCTCAGAAAAGGTGTGGACCCAGGTATTTCCTGTGATTGAGGAATGTTCTACAGGCTAGGATGGACATTACCTTTGGTTGTGGTGTGTATAAGGTCTGTGTGAACAAGGTCTCTAGTTCTATGACACAAGAACATGATGCCTCATTCAACATCTCCATTTGACCCAAAACATTACATGTTTATTCTCATGAATGCTCTGGAACTCACATTATATAAATCCCTTTCACATAGTTTGAAACAGAAACTTAGTAACATTGAATTGTGTTCACACTGATGTACAATGAATTCCAATTCTGACTGCAATTTAATCCACACATCCAATTCTTTAAACTTCCACAAATTTCTGTCTGACAGGAGTGAATTAAGTGGTGAATATCAATGTATCAAAATTTTAATCAGTTTTTTTTTTTTTTTTTTTTTTTTTGTAGGAAAACATAAAAATATCCAGGTAAAAACCACAAATAGATGAAAATTTCCTGATTAGGTCAGGTTTCTCTGACTCAGATAAGCCTGTCTGAACACCCAGTTTAGACCAGTCCCAAGATGAAAGGATTCCACTAACTGATAAACACTTCTCTGCAAGGCCTCCATGATATCAATGAAAAATTCTTAAACAAACAGGGCTAACAAATAACACTGGAAAAAGTGAATGTTCCAATCCAGGTAGATAAGAACTTCAAATGAATTTTTCTTATAGTTATAACTTATCGGACAATAAGAGAAGCTTCTGCATTTTCATATAAACAATACTATTAGCATCCTCCTTATTACAAGAACAGCAGATAGTTATGTCTAAAACAATTAATATATACACTTGTAGTGCAGAGAACTGCCCGACTTCTTTATAAAATCAAGGACTTTTTAAAACAGCCAAATAAACATATGACTTTTTAACTAGTGACACAACAATAACTGCTGATATTAGTAGTTGCTGAGAAAACTATGACAGAAATTTGGTACTAACAGAATGCACGGATAAACAGTAAGTTGACATCAGGTTCACACAAACATAGGTAATCAACGAATGTTGTCTTTAAGTAAGGCAAAGTCCCACTTTAAGTAAGGCAAAGTCCCACACTAAACTAATAATCTAGTTGTGTGCATCCCTAGATGCATTATGTGTGCATCCCTAGATGCATTATTTATGCAATTTTGGTCTGATGGGGCTTGCTGTTACTTGGGAATGGACTTATCTAAAAACTTTAAACTAGTCACTCATCCAGAAAATGCGAGTCAAATCCAGCATCTGAATTCTGAAACAAGTTTGAGAGTGTTCATCCCCTTGATGCATCATCCATGTAAGTTTGGTTCAGATAGGCCATATAGTTACTTGGAAATGAGATCTGCTCCAAAAAATTTAACCTGGTCACTCATCCTGAAAATATAGGTCAGATTCAGAATCTGAAGCAAGTCCAGTAGTGTGCATCCTTAGACTTATCATCAATGCAAGTTTGGTCAATATAGGGCTTATAGTTACTTGGAAATGAGATCTGCTCCAAAAACTTTAACCTGGTCACTCATCCAGAAAATGTAGATCAGATCCAGCATCCATTTAGCAAGTCCAGTAGTGTGCATCCTTAAGTGTATCATCCATGCAAGTTTGGTCAATATAGGACTTATAGTTTCTTAAAAATGAGATCTGTTCCAAAAACATAAACCTGGTCATTCTTTAGCTAAAATTGCAGCATCTGAAACTTTGACTGGTACAATGAAATACCGTATATACGGTTTTTTGGGAGTTAAATTTTAGCCCAAAACTCTATGTCCGACTTATAGGCGAGTCATAAAAAGATTTGTATTTTTTCTGGACGGCAAAATGTAGTATTTTACATACACATTTCCCACGATTATCGTTGAACAAAGTCTGGATATATTATATCATTTATGTATTCTAAAATTATACATAATTAAAGTACAAGTATTTACATATTTTGATAACTTTATTTTTATCTTAAGTGTGCATCATATATTTTGCTTAATGATTTAAAATTAAACATCAGCGTCATTTTCAAAAATATTAATCGAAACCAGCATGAACATCAGAGCACTGATTTGAAATTGTCAACTGATTCTGGCAAAATGTTGTACCGACTTACATGTATAAGCGGGTCAATGGCAAATCCCTCCAAAATAACCTCAAAATATACAACCGACTTATAGGCGGACCGACTTATAGGCAAGTATATACGGTACACTAGAAGCATCCTCCATGCATCTCTGATTAATATAGGGCATGTAAGCACTTCAAAAGAAAACTGCTCCAAAAACTTTAACCTGGGATGCCGACACCAAGGGTATCACATAAGCTCCCCCAACTTCGTTGAGGTGAGCTAAAAATGAATCCCACTAAATGGCATGCCAAAAGAGAGTGTACTAAAATTTCAAGCATTTGCGATGAGTACTTGCTGAAAAAACTGCAATAGAAATTTGGTACAGATAGACACAAAGATAAACAGGAAGTTGTCATCAGATTCATACAAGAATAAATCCCACCATATGGTATGCTTAAACATGGAGTGAGCTAAAATTTCAAGCATCTTGGATGAGTAGTTGCTGAGAAAAAAATGTGATGAAAATTTGTTATGGGCAGACACACAGACAGACACAAAAGGGTAAAACAGTATACCCCCTCTCCTTCAGAGCAGTGGTATAAAAAATCTTCAAAAAATCCTCTTCTCAAAAACAGCTGTGCAGCAGTTACTCAATTTAGTATACAAATATCCTAATTTATCTAGTGTAAGTTTCCATTTACAAACTAATCATGGCCCCTGGGGCTAAGGTTAGGATCATATGGCTGGGAAAAATACTACCGAGTCAAGGAACCAACCTTAGCTTTACTTGTGTCATAACTCTGAATGCTGATATTGTCTTCATCTGCTTGTTTTCTTTTTCGTTTTCCCTGCAAGCAACAAAATAAATAATGACACAAAAACAAGTAACTTAGACTAACTAAAAATCAGTCTCAGTAAATTTGTATATGTAAAATTTACCAGTTTTGGAATGTCAAAACCTAAACCTATGATTGAATGACGTCTTGATTTTTTCTCATCCTTAACTTCTGGTAGTCTAGAAAGAAAAATATGGTCATAACATATAAAATTCACATTGAATATGGTCAAAACGTATAAAATTCACATGGAACATATAATTATTTTTCAAAACTACTTATTAAAGTAGGCCTCAAATTAATTTCTGCCATTTTCAATCTGGAGAAATAAGTACACCAACTCCAATGATGTTTAATAATAAACATACTCATGATTCGTGTTATTGTCATGAAATGTTGTTTGTGTTATATCTTTATTAATATTACTCAATCTCATTACATATCTGAATGCTGTATGTCTGGACACTTCATCTTCCAGACAATTTTTCTTGGGAATGAAATATCGTAAAATATGCTAATTTGTTGATTATAGACAACCAATCCTCAACTTTGAAAATAAGTTTATTAGTTTGCTATTTATGCTTAATATCTTGACACTCATTAAAAGGTGCAAATTTTGTTTTAAAATGATTAAAGACAAATAGTACAGGTCTCTTTGTCTTACATCAAATACCAGTAAGAAATTATATGGGAGTACCTTTCTTAAACTTCAAAATGCACCAGTGAGTGGATTTATTTGAAATCTGTGTGTTATCTACAGAAAAGTTTTGTCATTGTCAAACATACATATATATGTAACGTCAACAAAAATTCTGCTGAAAAATGTGCCGATATTAACAGATAAAAATAACATGCCAGTCATTTGGACCGACAGAAATGGCATTTTTACCAGTCACAAGCATTTTAAGTCAGTTTTCCTGGCATGACCGGCAGTTTTCTACATCTCTGCCTTAAGGTATGTCACTCGTCAGCTTTTAAGAAAAGTTCAGTCAGAACCTTTATCACAAAAACTATCTATTACAATTCAATTTTTATAACATATTTAAATTAAACAATGCAAATTATTCAAGATTCAATTAAAAAAACTGCTCGCAAATTCATTAAGAAGCAAGATTTATGAGGGACTATTTCTTGTGGTGGAAGGATATTTAGAAGAAAATTCTTCAAATTTACACATTTTTTTGATTAAATATCTTGGAACTTTAGTCCCACATATTTTTATTTAGAGAATATTTTTCATTATGACATGCTAGGAATATTAAGTATAGGTCTCAATTTATTATTTTAGAACAAATTTTACACATTCACTCTACAGACTTTGCCAAGAAATGAAGATGTATTAAAGAAGTCAAGATAAAATTTACACCGCTTTTTGCCTGAAAATCGCACATTTTGACCAATATCTCAAAATCTACATCACTGACCCCAAAATTTTTTCTTTCACTATTTTAAACAACACAATGATTCCTACCGATCAGCACTTGTCATAAAAAGTTTGATACAAGAAAATATTTTACTGCCTATTTAGATTTTTTATACCCCAAATATGATACTTTTTAGTGCAAAAAGGTCACACAATAATTTATGCGCATTAATTTGCATGATTTGTTCAATGATAAATATTATTCAAACCATTTTAGGTAAAATAAGGTTATATTACTTGCCATAATTACATCTGATAAAATATGATAAAGATTAAATATGATAAAGATTAAAGTGAATAACCAAAAAGTTACAATTTAAGTGCAAAAAGGTCAACTAAATTGTACCGTAGCTCAGTAAGATGTACACTGACCCCCCATTTTCTTTGCGATTTGGAGTCGTACTATATGAGTACTTATCTAAAATATACTTCTTAAAAAATCCTTGATATAACTAATTTCACGAGTGACATACTAATTCAATTCAATTCGTTTATTGATCAATTAAGGGCCCTCATGGGGCAAAAAGAAAGTACATTGTTAAAATGTATATGAATGATTATGATCATACACACGAAATACAATATACATATACATAAGAGGGAAAGAATTGCTTGATTCATAAAAAAGGTTAAAGTTTTCAATGTTATTTGCAACCGTTTTACCGATAGAACATTCTATCTAGCAGCCGCTCACTTGATCGCCATTTTCACCAATTCAACAACCTGACTTTTCTTGGTTATAAATGTGTTTGTTCATTATTCTATATTCTCAGTTGGTGATTGTCTTATTTTCATTAGCCGCTATGCTTGTCCATAGTTCATACAGTCTGACTTTTCTACTTCATGTTCAGACTTTTCAAGACCCTTTTTTAATGATTATATATACATTTTAGTAGCAAAAGGTTCACCTGACAATACTATATTTGATGTGAAATGTTTTGTTTAGATAGTTGCTGACCCATTTTGGTGTTTATGCAAATAAATAAACAAATTCTACCATACCTTTGTATATTTTTTTTTTCGTATCAAAACAGAACATTTATTCTCTAATTTAGAGCCCATAACAGACAAGTATGAAATTATTACAATAATAAAGAAAAGATATGCCAATGGATAGTATAACAATTTGTAAATGACATTGCTCATTTCAACAATAATATTGTACTATTTCAGTTAATGGGAATACTATATATAAAACTGTATGGCTACTACAACATGTTATCATTTATGAATTTGCCCACAGAATTAAGTGTATATATAGAGGGGGTAGGGGTTTTAAATCTAGGGCTTTTTTGCTAACTTCTTGATAAAAATCCAGGCGCCTAGCTGTGCATTATGATTCATTTCTAATTATTCGGAAAATTTTGTATTTTTTCCAACTAAAAAAAGTTATCTTGCAGAGGTGTGTGGTCTCGTTGTGCAGTAACTGAGCACCACTTAAAATGAATATATAGAAGGCCTATAAAAACCCGCAAAAAATACGCATTTGTGAAAACTCACCTAAATACATTTTCGTCCCCTGCTGAAGGCATACCTACTTAGTCCAACTTAATTTAGAATAAAATTATAAAAATAACTCAACTTTGTTTTGAAAATGGCGGCTATTACTCGGGAATTTGGGACTAATGAACGTTAGCTTGACTTACATACTCGACCAATCAAATAAGAGCTTTCAAGATCACTGTAGTAGAATTGTAAATTTAGTCGGGTTAATATTTCCAGAAATCAATGCATACATGAAATATTGAAAGTTTTAAACAATTAAACGCTTTCCTTCTGTCTTTGCTTCTTTATATTGGGATTAACGATTACCTTTGCAGGAAAATACACATAATATGTTATTTTTTAATTAGTTTCCACTTTTCAAACTATTTTCTTGACACGAATAAATGAAAAAGATTTGAACTGTTCAAACAATCCCATGAATCCTGACACTCTAATATTTCAGGTGAGTCATTAATATTTTTAGATTTAATTTTTTTCAATTCCGTATGACACTTTCCCCTGCACCTCTTCCAGTCAGTACTTTTTTTTTTTAGTTTTCCTATTAATATTTTTTTTAATTTTCTATGAATTAATTAATTTTTTTTTATCTTTATATGGCAGTTTTGACCAGTGACGAATTATGCGATAAAACCTAAACACTGTTCTTAGTCACAGTATTCCTTGGTCAGCACCCGTCCGTCAATATAGGCGACCTTTTCAACTGATTTCAGAAGGACGCCCCCATCAATATTAATTAACCCCCGCTATTCAAGCGGGAGCTAGTATAGCTACACAGCGACGAAGTTTTAGCTACACCACAGGCACCTGAAGCGTGCCCTCCCCCCAATCTGATTAAAATACAGATCTCTTCATAGCGCAAAGCGCTTTGCGCTATGATATGGAACGCCATAGCTGCCTGAAAGTCATTTTCATTTTATATGAGGTGGTATAACCTTTATGTGAAGTGGTTAAGTCATTATATATAGTGGTAAAATCATTATATTCAATGAAAACTTTATTATATGCAGTGGTTTTATCTTTATATACAGTGATAAAATCATTATATACAGTGATAAAATCATTATATTCATTGATAACTTTATTATATGCAGTGGTTTTATCATTATATTCAGTGGCAATGTCATTATATGTAGTGGTTAAATAATGTAATGAAGTGATAGTACCGTTAATTATGCTGTAAAATCCTTATATGCAGTGGTTTTTCCATTATATACATTACTGATATCTTTCTGTGATGTGATAAATTCAATATATACAGTACAAACATACATGTAATTTGTGTGATAAAGCAATCATTACATTGTATGAAACCCGCTGCATGTGGAGTGCCAAGTTAATTTCATTCAGTGCGACACCTTTACATGAAGTGAAAAATCTATTATGTGCAGTACTAAGATCATTATATTATATAGTAAAATTATTATATATATTCCTAAATCATACTTTGCAGTGGTAACATCTTTATATGAGGTGGTTAATTAATTATATGATGTTGTTAATTTGTTATATGATGTGGTCAATTCTTTTTATGCATAAGTCGTTTCATGTTATGCAGTGGTAACTTCTTTATCATCATCTAAACTGGTCCTCTTGCAAAAACATTTTTAAAAAATGCGCTGAGTTCCAGTTTAAAGAGTGTTTGAAAATAGGAAACCCGGGCCGTGGCAAATTAAAAGCCGGGACTATTCGAGATTTTTCAAATTTCTGATTTAAAATTTACAGACTCTTTTTTAGGCTAATGTGTTTTCGCTGTAAAAATTGTATTTAAGGTCAAGATCTAGTAAATGAGTTTAGACTGTGTTTTTGGTACTATATCCATTATGACGTCATAATTGATTTAAACTTAATTTTTTTCCCGTACTTTACAGCTATAACAGAATTATGTAGAAAATGACGCATTTCATGGAATTCAATTTGAAACCATGTAAAAAGGAACCCCGATACCTATATTCAGTTTAATATTATTTTAAAGTAGAGGCCAAGAAGATATGAATAATCGTTTTCTGAGAGTCTGTAGGCAATATAGATACATTTCCTATGTCTGAGATGGAGAAAACTCTCATTTTTACACCTGATTTTCTTCATTTTTCATTGAAAAGGGCAGTTTAAAATATGTTTTTCCATTGAGTTTATCTAAAAATTATGTTCCGATACACCTTAATTTATTATGCTATAATTGTAAAAGATTATTAAAGGAACTCGTTTCTCAAATTTGAGAAATCTGTAGGCACTCTTCATTTACTAGATCTTGACCTTAAATACTTGGTATTTTAGATTTTCTTTACGATTTTTGGTTTCAAGTAAAATTGGTCGGCAGTTTCAATTTTCTGATTTAATATTTCATCCATTGTGCTATAAGTACTTAGTATTTTAGATTTTTTTTTGGCGATTGTTGATTTCCATGTTGGTAAAATGGGTAGACTGGGTTGGCGATATTTTATGTGTGTGTTTTTTTTTGTTGACATATTTGATAAAAATCTAATAAACTTGAAAAATTATTCCGATGTTAAACACTGTATTTATTTTAACTAAAAAAAAATTTCTTTTTGATAGTTATTTCTTTATTTGAAAATGCTATTTTTATGCAAAATACACATTTTCATTAAAAAAAGGATTATTAAACCAGATCCGATCATCCGGGAAGAACCTGGTGCAAAACACCATAAATCATTTCTAATTTCATAATATGCAAATGTGCACTGGTACATGTATCTATTTGTTAGTAGATGGAAGGGAACTGGATTACGTTAAATATGTAATTTGTTTAATACTTTTTTCGGGGGGGATGTTAAATTACTAATATCAACTATTTATAAGACTGTTTCTAAGACTTCAGAAAACCTTAAATCACATTGAAATGCTTAAAATAAAAATTGCTGCATGAAAACATTTAATTTTCAAGTTTCATCTTTGCCGTCGCCAACGTGGCACGGTGATTAGAGTGTCTGCTCTAAGAGACGCGGAATAAGGAGTCAATCCTTACGTCACGTGTTCGAATCCGACAGTGGGACGTTGAGACCGATCCTTCGTAAGAGACCGCATAAAGCCATAAACCGAGGTCCCGTTCCACAGTAGGTGTTGGCACGAAAAAAAACCCTCACTGCTCAATGGCCGTAAGTGTCGAGTATAGGACAAAATTTGCAGCTCTCCACTGGCAAATTGTGGCGTGTCCATATGAGTGAAAAATTCTCGAGAGGGACGTTAAACAGCAAACAAACAACCAAATTAAAATCATTTTAGCCTTTTGAATAAAATGATAAAATTAAGAGTTATCCTTCAAGGCTGAGGATCGGATATCCTTAAACCAAGCAACTTACGCGTGATTAAAGTTTGACACAAGGCTTTGCATTATAGTCCTATAATTACATGTATATGTGATAATTCTTTAATTAATTTATATTTTATCAAATGGCATGTAGATAATGAATAAGTATTTCGGATTTTTTTATGTTTGACTTCCGGGAGATCAAATCCGATTTTAATGAACCATTGGCGTCGGAAGGAAATTGACAGTGGGGTGGCTAATTGAAATAGAAAAAAAAAAATCAAACCTGAAAAAAAAAAACTTGACAAGCAAAAAAAAAAAAAAAAGGAAAATTGTTCTTTCTCCAAACCCGAAAATCCTATTTCGGGGGTGTGGGGGGGGGGGGTGGGGGGGGGGTCGAACATCTTTCAGTACCAAATTCTTTTAAATACTACCAATTACCCTTCTTCACTACAATGAATCGTGCCTGTAGAAAGTGGGGAGGGGGGGGGAAGGCTAGACCTACGCCCGAATTTTCAATGCCTATATTATGTCTACCTTTGTAAAAAAAAAAAGGGGGGGGGCAATAGCTCCCCCCCCCCCCCCGGTTCCGACGCCTATGTGAACCGGTTTTTCTTAAACGTGTCATTTCACTCAAAAAATGCCTTTCAAAGAATGAATAATTTTTAACATCAGAAGAATTTTAAAGTTTATTAGCTTTCTGTCAAATATGGCAAAAAAAAAAAACAAACAAACAAACAAACAAAACACGTAAAATGTCTACTTGATTGCCTACCCGATTTACCAACCTCACGGGCGGATTCAGAAAGGGCCTATGGGGCCCGCCCCCCCCCCCCTTGTGTCCAAAATATACATAAGATTTAATAAATCAATTGTTTTTTGGTTTGGCTGTGGGCTACCTACCCCGACCAAAAACATGTCGGGCCCCCCTTTTCAAGATTCCTGGATCCACCACTGAACTTGGAAATCAACAATCGCCAAGAAAATCTAAATTACTAAGTATTTTAAAATTAAATGCAATTTTTACAGCGAATACACATTAACCTATAAAAATGAGTCTTAAAATTTCAGCACAGTTGATAAAATCAGGAAGCTGTATAATAGAATCAGAAATTAGAAAAATCTCGAATAGTCCCAGCTTTTAATTTGCCACGGCCCGGGTTTCCTATTTTCAAACACTGTTTAAACTGGACCTCCGCGCATTTTTTTAAATAAAAGGACCAGTTTAGACGATGATAAAGAAGTTACCACTGCATAACATGAAACGTCTAATGCATATAAAGATTTGAGCACATCATATAACAAATTAACAACATCATATAATTAATTAACCACCTCATATAAAGATGTTACTACTGCAAAGCATGATTTAAGGAATATATATAATAATTTTACTATATAATATAATGATGTTAGTACTGCACATAATAGATTTTTCACTTCATGTGAAGGTGTCGCACTGAATGAAATTAACTTGGCATTCCACATGCAGCGGGTTTCATACAATGTAATGATTGCTTTATCACACAAATTATGTTTGTACTGTATATATTGAATTCATCACATCACAGAAAGATAACAGTAATGTATATAATGGAAAAACCACTGCATATAATGATTTTACAACATAAGGTATCGATATTATCACTTCATTACATTATTTAACCACTACATATAATGACATTGCCTCTGAATATAATGATAAAACCACTGCATACAATAAAGTTATCAATGAAAATAATGATTTTATCACTGTATATAATGATAAAACCACTGCATATAATAAAGTTTTCAATGAATATAATGATTTTATCACTGTATATAATGATAAAACCACTGCATATAATAAAGTTTTCATTGAATATAATGATTTTACCACTATATATAATGACTTCACCACTTCACATAAAGGTTATTCCACCTCATATAATATGAAAATGACCTTCAGGCAGCTATGGCGTTCCATACTATGAAGAGATCTGTATTTTAATCAGATTGAAATACAGATCTCTTCATAGCGCAAAGCGCTTTGCGCTATGAAGAGATCTGTATTTTAATCAGATTGCCCTCCCTCCTTACTAATAAAATATAAGCAAGGAGTCTTTATTTTCTCGAAAATATGTGATTTCGTCGTCAATTCTGTTTGTCATTCTGTGAAATTGGTTTAAAAATTGTACATATACGGCATAATAAAAATACACATTATACCGTATATATGGCCAATTTTAAACCTTCACAAAAGTACAAACCAATTTCACAGTATTTTAATGATTATAATTTTGATTTTAATTTTTTTTTATCTGATTTTATTTAATGAAGAATGTTTTTGTTTACTATTTATCTGCAATATATCTATTAATTAACAAGCGATGCAATTGTGGGTCCAGACTTTCTGCGGGAAAAAATCTATTGAATGAATGTGCAGTAGTCCGAATTTTCCCTTCGCCCATTCGTTGTCGTTAGAGCTCGCAGTGACGAGCGGCGCTCTGCGCCGCTCGATCGCTGCACTCGCTATAAAATATAAATCATAACGCTACAGTTCTGTGGCTAAAGCTAGAGTATTTCTACCCCCCCCCCCCTTTCTGTGTTTGCAATAACATTAATTACATCAAAAGCCTCTTAACATTTTCCTTTGAGCTTTTTGAAATGTGAGAAAAAAGAAAGTTAATATCATAGGGTCCAGAATTTCATATCAACTGGTTTTTGGTTTTCAACACTAAAATTAAGATTAAGGATGTAAAATCTAGGGCTCCCGTAATCGAAGATTCGGTGGCATATAGTTTTTGCTCTATCCGTCCGTCCCACCGTTCCGTCTTTCGGCCTGTCTGTTTGTCTATAAATATGTTCGCAAAAACTTTAACCTTGCCCATAACTTTTGATTGGTTGGAGTTGTCAGTATGGCTTTCATATTTCACATGTGTATTTCTTGTGACGATCGAGACCTTTCTTTAGGTACCAACATATTTGACCTCTTGACCTTGACCTATGAGTTTGACCCACCTTTGCAAAATTTTACCACTCTTAAACCTTGGTCATAACTTTTGAACGGTACTGATTAAGTGCTAAAACTTTCATACTCAACAGGTGTATTCCTTACGATAAGACCTTTCCTTGGGTACATGTACAAATATTTGTGACCTTGACGTTTGACCTACTTTTAAAAAACTTTAACCTTGGCCAAATAAAATTTTTGAATGGTTAGAGCTAGGGCTTTCATTTTACACATTTGTATTCCTTGTGACAAGCCATTCCCTTGCATGGGTACCAAGAATTTTGACTCTTTGTCCTTGACCTAATTTTGAAAAAAAAACAAAAACTTTTACCTTATTGCGGTAATAACATTTTTTTTATTTATTGACCTTGACCTTGGAGTTTGACTTATATTTTAGAAATTTCTGCATGAGCTGCCATACGGGGGCATCCGTGTTTCACAAACACTTTTTGCTGCTTTAAATTCAATTCCTTTACTTATATATAACTTTCTAAACTTTTCTATGTCCAGAGGAAGAGACAGGGTGATCCGATAATGTGACCATTTTTTTTATTGTTCCTGTAGTTGGACATAATAAATACGTGTATATATTTAGTAGATCCAACACATTTAGGGTTGTTGTAATGTGCAATCACACCCCCTTCACGCGCGGATCCATGATTTTTTTTCCGGGGTGGGGGGTCCTTACCAACTAAAAAAATCAACTCAGAAAGGATGACTGCACTTACGGAACTTGCGTCAAAATAAACTTTGAAATTAAGCATTTTTCTTTTAAATGCAGGAATGGTCAACATCCATTCCACAACTATACCTAATTACATTAAATAAACGTATGTATTTACGAAGTACGAATCTGTTTTCAAAGGCGGGGTCATCACACGCGCAATTTTTTGAATCTCCATACGATAATGAGAACACCCACTTTTTTGTTGACTTTATCATCGTCATCACATACTGTTCTCCGTTTAACAATAGTTTTATATTTGCATTAATAATGTTGTGTCAAAAGGAGTTGAATATTATAATTCACCACGTGATTACCTCAGGCTCCAGGGCCATAAAACTTAAACAGCTCACTTTTGATCCCAGTCTCACTTTTACATAAGGAATTGATGGTGGAAATGTGAGACCGAAATAAAAAAATGAGCTCATCCGCGAAGCGGATTATAAAGCGTAAACTGACCCAAACCAGGTTATACTCGAATAATTTGGCCAAGAATTAGAGTCATTCCTTATAATTTAATTTTAAAATCATTAAATAACTATGGGTGTAAAATTTCGTTGCTTTTTATTAGTTCAAATTTGCCGCTCAATAATACAACCGTAGTAACGGAAGTGATGGGAAGCGAGGGGAGGTAAAAACTGATACATAGGCCTTGCATGTTGTTTGTTTACATGTGGTAAGATCGGTATCCAGTCAACTCGTAACCATTCCGACTCGTACCCAATATTATTGTATGAAGTTAAAGGTACATTTATTAAATCTGGAATTTTCCATGAATCCCGAGGACTGGAAATGTATGGATACAGATGATTCAGCTGGTTGTCAGGGGGGGGGGGTGTCCCCATACCAAACCAGGTTATACAGAAATAATCTGTGTCATGGCCGTAGGAACCGGGGGGGGGCACGGGGGGGGGGGGCGTGCCCCCCCAATAATTTTGCCGATATATAGATTACTATAGGAAACATAGATACTAAATGCTTGTGCCCCCTCAATAAAACCGCCTGATGACCTTTTTTTGCTTGTCAATGAATATTTGGTAGTTGACGACTTTTTTTTTTTGCTTGTCAGAAAATTTTTGCTAGTGCCCCCTCAACTGTCAATTGAAAAATGTTTGGCTGTGCCCCCCCCCCCTACTGAAATTGCTTCCTACGGGCCTGTGTATTCCTTTTTGCAGCTGTTTGGATATTAACCAATCAGACACTAGAATACAAACAAAATTAAATTATTTGAATATATGTTAATTTGGCATTCCATACATCAGAAGCGACCGAAAAAGACCCAAAACTCCGCGTTAAGCAAAACAAAACCAAAAAAAAAAAAAAAAAAAAAAAACAAACAAACAAAACCAAAATAAAAAACAAACAAAAAAACACACACACACAAAACACAAAAGAGAAGAGAAATTTTAATTTTTGTTCCATAATGCACAATTAAAGAACCCGCCAAAATGGTATTTATAATTTATAAACATTTTGGGCTTAGGAGCACAGGCACTTGTTTCTGTAATAAATTTTTGACCCATATTATTATACTATGGGTCAAAAATTTATTACGGAAACAAGTGCCTGTGCTTAGGAGAGGTGTACCCCCGACCCCACCCCCCAATTTTTAACGCACACGTACACACACTTTCGACTTCAGTGCATGTGACGACCCTGGTCCTGGACTCTCATGCTTATTTTCTCTGTTTGCAGTGGACACTAACGAAATCCTGGGACTCTCCATTGCTATCCTCATCAGTTTTGGTCTCGGCTCATCCTGGTTATAACTGTCAGTGATAAAGAACGATAACCCTGTAGAAATTGTCGGGTGTAATGGCGAAAATTAGTTTCCGTGTTATCATGGTTATATATTTATTTTGTGTTCTCTTCTTGTGTGTTTTTTGTTACGAACCAAACTGGGAGTCTCTTGACAAAAGAAAAAATCCTGAATGGTATGATGATGCTAAAATCGGGATATTTCTTCACTGGGGGGTGTACAGCGTGCCTGGAAACATGGTATGGTTTTGGTATTACTGGCAGCGAGAAAAACAACCCGAATTTGTTAACTTCATGAAGAAATACTACCCGCCCAGTTTTCAGTATGCAGACTTCGCTCCAGAATTCCGGGCTGAGTTTTTTGATGCAGACCAATGGGCAAAAACCCTTAAAGACTCGGGTGCAAGGTATATAACTTTTCCAGGCCTGTAGAACGCGGGGGATCGAGCAGGGAGCCCCGCCCCCTCCTCCACTTTTTTCTGAGTAGGCCTATAGTAATTTTCTGTATAGTTTTAATCATATGCACTCCCCAGCTTGATTGTTGAAAATAATATATCTACTATGCTATAAATATTATGTTTATAGTATAGTAGATACATACTTTTTTAACAGATAAGCTGGGGCTCAGTGCCTATATATGGTTTTAATTTTAGATGCTGGTCCCCCCCCCCCCCCATTTTTTTTGTTGTAAGGTCGAGCACTGGCAGAGTTGCTGCATATATAATTTGAACTTTCTTTACTGTCTCACTCATCCAATATTTTATAATGTGTAGATTTGTGAAGCATTTGGTGATTACGTGCTGAGTTGTACCAATTGAATTGTGTGTCAACAGTCTGTCATCCATGAGGGCCTCCTATTTTGACTTGTCTGTAAAGGAAACATCACTTTTAAAACATTTAAACAAACAAGTGTTTCATGAATTTTGTAAGTCTGTGGGAATTTTCAATGGTAATTTCCGCCATTTTTGACAACATACAAGGGAACGTTCTTTCCGAATTGCGATTCCAAAAAAAATGATTGAAAATTTAATGAAGTGTGTTTTGAGAAACAAAGAGAAAATGTGACAAAAATGCTTTACTAGTTGTTTATAATCCACACATTGATAAAGCAAGAATGTGTCCATTTGTCATATGTATCTTGTGAATAATTTAACCATTTTACATATAAACCCATCTAAAGTATCTTTTCAGTTTATTATATTTCGCAAGTTGGACATAATATCAAGACTGAAGTGTATTTATATAATCTAGTATATTTTGAACCAGAATAGATAATCCAGAAGTAAATGTGAAATAGGTTATAAAGATGTATATTCTTAAGCATGAGATTTTTACGCATATCTCTATGTAATAACGACCACTGACAATAATGTCCTTTTTGTTTCAGTTGATGTTTATTTTTTTCATAGGTATATCGTTCTTACATCCAAGCACCATGAGGGGTTCACATTGTGGCCATCCAAATATTCGTGGAATTGGAATTCCATGAGTGTGGGTCCCAAAAGAGACCTTGTGGGTAATGATCCTACTTCATGTCAAATGTATGCAGACATACATGAATATATATAAAATTTCTTAACAACACAAGTACTCTTTAAAATCTTATACTTACAGAGAAATGATTTTTCTATTTTTAAACCCCAGCTTGAAAAGCAGGTGGTGTATAGTGATGGAGGTGTCCGTCTGTCTGTACGTCCATTTGTTTGTTCGTTATGCTTTGGGGTACCCATCTCTTATCCACAACTCCTCTTATACCACTAAATGAAATTTAATGAGACTTTCACAGAATCTTTGTTACATAGTGCCATTGTGACCTCTTATTTTACACATATTTCGGGATTCTCACAGCAAAACATAGCCACTGCCATTCTTTCTATAATATTGAGTGTACCTGTGTACTCCCTTATCCGCAATTCCTCCTTTAACACTCACTGAATAGAATTTAATGATAATTTCACAAATCTTTTATTACATTGTGCCATTGTGATCTCCTATTTTACTTTTTGATTGGATACTTATTTCGGGTCTCCCATAGCAAAACATGGAACACTGCCATTCTTTGTATACCTCTGAAAAAAAATTAATGATACTTTCACAGAATCTTTATTACACAGTGCCATTGTGCACCTCCTATTTTACTATTTTTTTTAATTGGACACATATTTCAGGTTCCCATAGCAAAACATAGACACTGCCCTTCCTTCTATAATATTGAGGGTACTCATTTTTTATCCACAACTCCTCCTGTACCATTGAATATTAAAATTTAATGATATTTTCACAGAATCTGTATTACTTAGTGCCATTGTGCACCTCTTACTTTGTTTTGATTGGACAGATATTTGGGCTTTCCCATTGCAAAAATGGACTTTGCCATTATAATCATATGGGAGGCAGAGGGTATCATTTTGTGAGCTCAGTGCTCACAGTACCTCTAGTTTTTTGTTGGGGGATGCAAAATGCAGAGTTAATCATCATCTTTAGTTTCAGGTTCTATTAAGATTTATTTTGCATAATAGGTGAATTCTCAACAGCCATAAAGAAGTCAGGACTGAGGTTGGGTCTGTACCACTCACTTTATGAATGGTTTAACCCTTTATACATGAAAGACAAAGCCAACAACTTCACTACCAAAGACTTTGTGAAGGTCATATAAAAACAAATGTTTTAAAATTTTAAATTCTATGTCTTCATCTTCTTATATTTACAACTGAATTTATGAAGTGTTTTCCCTTCTAAAACACTATTTGATCATGTGACCAACTTGTATTTGCATCCCAATTTATTAAATAAGTTGAAAAATGATACCTTGCATAAATTATTATATTAATGTTATTATGACGTCATGGTAAAAACATCAGTAGATTGGTGCAATAAATGTCTGAAATTTATACTATTACATACACAATATTTAAAGTGTGAAAATGTTATACACTGTATATATAATTCTTGAAACCCTATTATTTAGTAAACAAGGGACATGTTTCACATTTCAGGCCAAAACTATGCCAGAGCTGTATGAATTGGTGAACACCTATCATCCGGAGTATGTGTGGTCAGATGGAGCTCCATTGGACAGCGGAAACAGTTCCTACTGGAATGCACCAGAGTTCGTAGCTTGGCTCTACAATGAAAGGTCCATAAAATCATCATATTATAAGTTATATTTTAAAAATCTTAAATCATAACTTGAAAGATTTAAATACCAGGTTAGTAAAGTTCTTTTGATTTGTAGCCCAGTCAGATATACTGTGGTCACCAACGACAGATGGGGAATGGATGTTTCCTGTAAACATGGAGGCGTGTTGACTTGTTCCGACAGATACCATCCAGGTTACATATATTAAGTAAAATTTTGAAAGTAAATGACACATGGTATATTTTTATTTCCTTAAATCTTTTAAATATAAATCTTAAATCTGGTGAAATACTAATAAACTAAATGATATAATAAACAATTATTGCTGATTTTGTGGTCAATATGATGATACAGTGGCTGCAACGTTATTGTTGACAACTTACATGAACGATCATGTTACACAAACGATTCCGCACGATTAATGCAGGATTATATAAACCTGTTACACGAACGATCCTTCACGCACACGATTCTACACGTTACACAATCTTTCATGATTGCTAATGCAAACGCATGATTGTTCACGCAAAATAGATAAAAATATTTAGGATTGGATATTTTCAAAACGATATAAGGCTAAATATAGGTATTTTAGAATACAAATAATTATTAATGCAATTCATCGACTTTGGAAAACTGAAAAAAATATTTAGATATGGATATTCTTGAAACTAAATAAGACTTAATTGTTATTTTAGATTACAAATAATTATTTATGTAATTTTTCAACTTTAGAAAATTGACTTTTTTTTTTTTTTTCGATATGTAAAGTTGTAATTTTTGATCGATTGCTGCATGTTCTATCAGATTATATTTACGTTGCAAATGTTTTCTTTTATATAACACTATAAAAAGCAATGCATATTTATATCCGTATAAACACGGGTTCCTTGCTTCATAAACATTTGATGGAATTTCTCAGTGATGTCATAAAGGGTCGACGCACAATCAATGGATCAAATACATGCCTTTGAGTTTGAAAAATAAAACATTTCATGTGTTAAAGATTATAATCAGGAAAATATGAACAAGTCATAATTGTAAATATAAGTAATAATGTATGATTTTTAAACATCTATCTGGATATAAATACAGGTTGGTACGAGATCAAATTTACCATAAAGCCCTTCGAGCTTTATGGAATTTGATCTCGTGACCAACCCGTATTTATATCCCGATAGATGTTTAAAAATCATACATTATTTCCAGGGCTCAAAATAATTGATAGCCCGCTGGTCTGGGGCCAGTGAATTTTTAATCTGGGCTAGTACATAACAGAGGGCATGTGCCCTTTGGGTCATCATATTTTTATGCATAATAAAATTCATTCACAGTCGGGCTAGTTAACTTGACAGGGTTGTGTGTCCCAACTTCTGTTGTTTCTTGTTTTGTTAAGTTGTACTTCTAAGTATCACAATATATAAAAAAAATATTACTATTATTATTATGGTTTTGGGCCAGTCTTTTTAAAATCTACTGGCCCATTGGGACAGTGAAAGTACTAAGATGACCAGTAAAAATTTAAGGTGATAGCCCGAGTGACCAGTAATCAAAAATAATTATTTCTAGCCCTGATTTCTTAAATTTTGGTGGGCTGTGAGTTTTGATTCTATTGGATTTTATGATTATGCAGTAAGGGAGAATAAGACAAAAAAAAAATGGCATAAAAATGTAATAAAACTATCCATCTTTCCATTTTTGAATCTCTATAAAATTGGCAGTTTTTCTTACATTCATTCATTTGCTGAAATTATTAAAAAAAAAAAAAAAATAAAGTAAGTACCAGGAATATACACTGATAAAAGTAACCTCGACAATCATGTCGTGTACATTCGCCGATATATATTATATATATATAGTTATATATATATTTATTATAAAGCACTAAAAATTACCAACGACATGAACAATAATAATTGTCAAATTTTCGGGATGACCTGTCCCTTCCTCAGGACAAAGAAAAAAGTTAAGAAGTCATAAAAACAAAGAAAATAAAGAAACAAAAACAACTAGCACTACTACTAAACTACCAAACACTAAATATTTACAGTATTACATGTTTAATTGGAAGTTTATAAACAGTTGTGAACAAAGAAATCCGGAGTGCTATGAATTGCGTCTGGTCTATCGGGTGTACTCTGGTGAAGTGCGATTTACATAATTGAACGAATTAATTATCGCTAATTAATTACGACCAAGCAGTAAATCGTACATTGTCTTATTCTCTCAAAATAGTGTAACTATACATGATAAACAGAAATTAAAGATTATATGGAAGGGCAATTTTAAAATATGAATTTGGATATGTTATAAATTTGGAAATCTGATAAAAGAAATAAACAAAAATGTAAGCTGTAAATATTTGGGTAGGTTGTTCAGAATTGCTTATGCGAATTAACAGTAAAGTTAACACTATATAGAGAGAATGAACTTGTTTGTTACAATCCGGGATTGGGTCTAGTTCACGTTCATCCTGGTGAAGTCATTAAGTTTGTTAATACCATTAGGGCGGAATGACTTCAGCCTGTGCATCCAGAACTTTTCCTTGCCTTTATAGTTTTATAGTTTTATATATATATATATATATATATATATATATTAGGGATGGCAATCGAATACAGAATTACTAATCGGTTAACCGCAAGGCGTTCCGGCCGATTAACCGGTTAATCGTATCGTATCAAAATATACATTTTTGACTTTTTTTCATTTATTTGTATTTATAAACAAAAGAAGACTGAAAGAGAGACGTGGTTAGAAGTTAGAAACATTCTGCTCATTATCTTGATCAGGAAACTATGTGTACATATTAATTATTTTATTTCAATTTCAATAGTTAGACACGGAAAAAATAAGAAAACCATGAATCTTGCCTAAGAAATCAGACACAGAAAGATATGTTTCCAGTGCAGATATCGCACAAATTCATTCTTCATTGTCACAGTGATCAAAACTTTGTCTGAACTTTAACTTATGCAATGATTTTCTAGTAATGTAATAGATAACGGCCAAAGATCGGTATGTACACACAATCATTAAAAGTGTTCAATGGAGATTATGTAAAATCATTAAAGTATTAAGGGACGACCAGGTTTCCAATATATTGTTTTTAAAAACAGTAATTAACACTTCCCAAACTGACCAATTATTACCTCGCGATCTCAGTCCGGAGAGCCATAATTACCTCTAAATCAGCTCAATAAGATGTGTAAAAACACTGAACTATCAACTTTTATGCAGAAATTTCCTTTTTTTAAAATTAAATTTAAGAAAATTGCATCCAATTTTACATGTATTAAATTTTCAGACTAACCGATTGCAGATTTTCTAACCGATTACCATCGTTCCGACCGATTAATCGATTACAAATTGCCATCCCTAATATATATATATATATATATATATATATATATATATATATATATATATATATATATATATATATATGTAAGCATTGGGAATTATTAATTTTTTGTAAAGATATACATTTTTTGATGTATTGATAAAAAAATTTCTTGACCAAGATTAGCAGTAAAAGTCTGTAAACATATTTGACATCAAAGAAAAAAAATTGCTAAAAATCTTAAATACGTTTTATTATGAAAAATTTTGCTATTGTAAGAGAATACAATAATGTGCGACTTACCATATTAACTATTGATAATTAGTTCGTTCAATTATGTAAATCGCACTTCATTTCTTTTATTTCAATTAAAAAAAATAGACAAGCTGAAAATTACATTCCGATAAAAACTTACAAAACAAAATTTGCATGTTTCTTACCGCACGATCAGGCCAATTAAAACCACAATAGGTTAAGCCTGATACACGCATGATCTCTCACATTACATGAACGACCACGCACATTACACGAACGAGTCTACACGATTGGTTTGTTAACAATAACGTTGCAGCCACTGTATTTAGCCATGTGAAGAGTACAATATTCACCGAGCCTGAAAGGTGAGGTGTATGTTGTACGTCGAGGGTTACTAAATTGTCATATTGTTTAAAAACCCCCAGCAATAATTGTTTTATGATATGATTCAATGTTTAAATCATAGGAATTTATTAAGCAAACTACGCTACCTTTCTTGATTATTTACATTTGTTGAAATCCTAGCCAAACGCAGTGAGAGAAGCGAGCCAAGGTTAAAATAGACATAACCAGTTGTGTAAATTTCAAATTTCTCAACCTATTTTTGGTGCGATGGAGAAAATAAAATAAATGTCAGCATCAATTTTGAAAGTGGATAGTATACCATATACAGTCAAACCTCGTTATCTCAAACTCCATGGGACCGAGGAAAAACTTCAAGTTATCTGAGGATTCAGAATATCAAGGGTAAAATACTAAAGGAATATTAGGTTGGGACTTCAAAATTATTTCGACATATCCATGGTGTTCAAGATATCAGTGTTCGAGATACCAAAGTTCAACTGTACATGTATTGACAAGTTTATTTAAGAAATAAACAACAATGTTAAAAAGTTCTCTGGGAAATGAACTTTGTTGGTCACGTGATGAAATCCAGTGAAGCCCGAAGGGCTTCTCAGAAGATTTGATCATGTACTAACCAAGTTCATTTCCCAGTGAACTTTTTAGCATTATTGTTTATTACTTTTATTTACATTTGAGACGAATTTTCTGAAAAGAACTGCATTTATTACATGAACAGCCCGCCGTATTGCTATGTTGTGACGTGCAATGACCTAGATGCTGTTTGGACTTGAGAGTTCGCCTCGCTCCAACATTTGAATACTTACATTGATGGTCAGCAGTCCAGTTCAGGAAATATCTGTTCATAATGAAAAAACATTATCGCTACTGAGAATAATCTTACTATTATTGTATGAGTTCTTTATATATGAAGTCAAAAGCGGTGGCATCGTCTTCAGTTTACATACCTTCAAAGGAATTTCGGGTTAAAAAGGTATGTGATTTTAGGCTAATTAAAAATATTCTTCACACCGAAGAAAGAACTAATGATCATTTGTTGAACAAAAAAAAAACAAATATGTTTCAATAATTTTATCTTTTTCATCAATTTAACGGCTTAGAAGTTCTGAAACCAGTGTCACCGGGACAGAAGTATGTAGAAAAGATTATCATCTCGCTGTGTGATTCGGTCAGGCCATGACCTCTGACCCTAATAAGTTCATACAGAATTGAACATATTTTCTCTTCAATAGGTTCATCTAAGAAAAATATTTGCAAATGTAAATAATAGCGAGCGCAGTGAGCGGCGCAAAGCACCGCTCGTCACTGCGAGCTCTAACGACAACACCTGAGCGAAGAGAAAATTCGGACTACTGCACATTCATTCAATAGAATTTTTTTTCGCAGTATTTCTGGACCCACAATGCATCGCTTTTTGTTCTCGTTGCTAACTTCGTTCGCGCGGTAACAACAACTAAAATTTCAGACAAAATAAACTCACCTTAATTTAATGGATATTGCATACAGATAGTAGATTAAACGTTCTTTGTTAAAATCATTGCACTTTTTAAACTTTGTTTATGGAAATGCAGCTAACATATGACGTCGTGTGACATCACAGTCTAGACGTTCCAAATCTCTCGTGCGGTTTGAAGAGGCGGATCTTAACGAATGAAGTGAACAATGCGCTAGCCCCAACGGTTGCACCGTCAACATATTAGATTTCATGAGTGAACTTGGGTACCCTATCTTAAGAAGTTCCACACCTTTATTCTTTATAACCCTGGTATATCAGTAGGAGTATTGTGATCTAAAGGCATATGGTACATATTCAGAGTACCCGAACCAAGGAAGAATTCCAATATTAAAGGGGGGGGGGGGGGTACGATAAAGATTTTCATTAATTTTGTAAATTGGAACTTCATCACACAAAATTTTACAAAGTTATTTTCATCCTGAATCTAGACATATCAAAGGTATATTCAGTTTTAAAACAAGCCCAGCAGATATAAAACCCCTCTCTTATGTGTCTTCTAAACTACATATTGTATGTTCTTAGAGGTGGATACTACCTTTGATCTTTGCAATTCTCAGAAATATGCTTAGCTAGTGATATTTTCACACTCTAGAAAGTCATAAAGTCTAAGCTTTGTGTTCTTTAGGAAAGCTACTGCATAGAAAATGGGAGAGTGCATTCACTATTGACAAGACAAGCTGGGGGTTTAGAAAGAAGGCTGTTCTTGCTGATTTCATGACAATGGAGGAGTTACTGTATAACGTCATAACCACAGTAAGGTAAGTATACAGATTCAGGTTACACTATTTTGTCTTAAGTTAACCTGAATGCTGGGTAGTTGCTATTTACATTTAATAAATTTGCAATAATTCTCTTGCATACATCTTTCTGGTGCATCCATTGTTTTCTTGCCTCTAATTATAAAGGATATTCATTTTTCATAACAAATTACTTTCTAACGTTTGTGACAAATATAAAGCTGTGGTGGAAATGCATTGATTGATGTTGGACCAACACCATATGGGACTATACAACCCATATACCAAGAGAGGCTATCACAGCTGGGAAGTTGGCTAAAAGTAAATGGCGAGGGTGTATACAGGACAACACCATGGATATACCAAAATGACACTGTAAATCCACATGTTTGGTAGGTTTCTCTCTCTCTCTCTCTCTCTCTCTCTCTCTCTCTCTCTCTCAGTAAAAACAAAGAAACTCATTTGTAATCTCTAAATGGATAAGATAAATATGACATAATGCTATGATATTGAACTGGCAATGGTTCAGGTAACAACCCAAACATATACACCATTGATATAAATAAGCAATGATATAAGCCAATAAATCTCTAGTTTTACTCTTAATTGATAACAGATACACTCATTAAGACATGTAAATGCAATGTAATATATAAAACACATTATAGTCAGTTTTAAAATGACATGCTAAGGAGCCTTGTTTTAACCTTTTGCAATATCTTTTGTAATTGTTGATTCTGTCAAAATCCAATAAGCAAACCAAGAATTACAGTCTGGATAATCAGCATTGGATTCATACTCCCACACAAAATCTGTTGACATTATCATTATAAACTGTAACCAACAGTACTTCCTAAATTCTGCTTCATTGACAAAAAGTTTCCTTGCAAATTCTTTGGAGTGGTCTCTTCCAAAAACCATTTCGGACCCAGCATTGAGATTAAATCAGAACCAGATATTGTTACCCCAAACTCTATCAGAACCAGATATTGTTACCCCAAACACTATTACAATTCAACTTAACTTAATGATTTGTAAAAAATCAGCACTCTGTACTTTCACCATAAAGTCTTTGACAAAATGTGACTAAGTCTATTTTGAATGGTTATTACCAAGTTGGTGCTGCTTGGCAGTGCAATACAATGGATTTGCAGTTCAGTAAAGATGCAATGTGGAAAAAAAAGAAATTTAGTATGAGTTTCTCTCACCAAGCAAACACTGCCAGGCAGGACACATTCAGAATTTTTTCTTCTGAGCAATGAAAATCAGCACCTTTACTTTCCATTTATTAAAAAATTGTGCAGAAGTATTAAAAATCATATTATATTTATATGTAGTAAATTATTAAACAGAAATATAGTGAAGGCATATGTGTAAAAGAGCATATGCATTGATTTTTGTGTTCCTTTCAAATTTTTTTTTTTTTTTTAAAACAAATTAAGTCTTCTAAAAATACCAGTATTTTACCTTATATCAGTTGGAGGTATCATACATATAATAAATAGGGCAATTCTCTCTCTCTTTCTTTCTCTCATTTATAATAGCAAAAGGGATAAAATTTGCACAGGTTTGATATTTTAAACAGAATTATTCAAGGTTCAAGTCAAAACACGCACACAAATGTAATTATAAGTTGACTGGCATATACACTTAAAGGGGCCTGGACACAGAGTTGAAGTTAATATTTTCTCAAATTTTCTGTGTAATATCTTGACATATATGTTGCTATAGCATTTCACACAGAAATAAAAGTGTGTTCTCTATCTGGAAATTATTGAAATTATGAATTTCAGGATGCATTTGATTGACCCATCCTTGCACTTTCACAAAGTAAACTTTATCCTTAATACTTAAGAAAAGTAGAAATTTTGTTGTGTATTAATGAAAAATATTAAAACTATAATCCAGAAAATTCAGAGTAGAAATGTGAGAAAGCAAAACAAACTCACCAGTATTTCAGACCATGCTTAGTGATGTGTGCAGAGTTTAACAAATTGAATGCACCCAGTGAAATGTAAACACTAACAATAACAGACCTCATGCCCTGTTAACAAAAACAGATATTTGATGTGATGTAAAGAAGAATGTTGTTGTCATTGAATTCTAAGAATATTCATGCAAGTTCAATTCATTTAATTGGTTTTATTTTGTGTCGCCCGCAGAGCAGAGCGGCACTTAGGGATCACTTTACCGACATCTGTCTGTCTCTCAAGAACTGTAAGAGATATGAACTAGATGTTTTGCACATATATTGTTTGACACTGTGGCATTTGTGCATTGCCATGGTTACTGACCTTGTGACCCTTGACCTTTGACCTACTTTACAAAAAAGTTAAAAGTGCCAATATACAGCATATTTTTTTTTTTACATTTAAGGGGTAAGTCTATGCTATTTAGCATGTGCACTGATTGTCATAAAACATTATAAAAAAAATACCAGCATTACAGTTCACTTGACCTTGACCTTTGACCTACTTTGCAAAAAATACCCCCGGACAGTTTAATTTAACTTAAGGACATATGCAACGTACGTTACCTACTGATAATTTTTCAAGGTATTTTTATAGTGCCATCAGATGTTCATAGACAAAAAATCAGTATGCATTACCAGGGGTTTTGAAAAGATATCATTTGATGAAAATTCGTGTATAATTCAAAGAAAAATTTACAAAAATTACTAAACATTTATTGAGATGTTTTGTTTATCAAAACTTGTTTTAGAAGAAGTGTACAACAGCATATATAGACATTAAAATGTAGCACGCTGTTCCTTTAAGTATTGGAACTCTTCAACTAGAGGGAAAAAGACAATAAAGTTCAAACTACGTTGCGTATGTCCTTAAGACTTTTGAATTTTGAGAGGCGGGGTGTTGATAATTAGCAGGCAACACATGCATTCCTTGGAACACTCTAGTTTGAATAAGTGTAGCAATTTAAAATGTAAATAATGCAATTGTGGCAACTGTGTCCAGGCCCCTTTAAATAGATTGATTTGTGATTTTTATTTAAATGATTTTTTAATGTTTAATTTCCAGTATTTTACTTCACATCAATCATTTACATGTGTATAATATAGGATCCTCTCTCTGTCTCTCCTCCTCTCTCTTTATCTCTGACTAAATAAAGAAGATCTAAAAAAAAGAAAATTTACAGGTACACTGTTTCCAAATTTTCCTCCATACTTGTGTATGCATTCTTACTGGAGTGGCCAGAAAACAATATAGTGACACTCGGAGCTCCAAAACCTTCAAACAAAACTCTGGTTAATTTGCTGGGTCATTCTAATTACATCCCCTGGAAAAGTGGACCTAATGGTGGAATCCAGCTTCATCTACCAGACATTCCATATTCCCAAATGCCCTGTCTGTGGGCTTGGACATTTAGGCTTATTTATTTAAACAATTAAGTTTGAATGGCTGACATATGAGAAAAACACTAAGTAAAGATTTGCTGAATAAAAAACTCTAAGGATAAAAGGAAACTTCATTTCCATAATCTTCAGCAGGGTTTTGGCTGTTTTTTTTTAAATCCTTCACAAAGTCTTATGTGTTGTTAGACTCTAAACATTCCTCTGGTTCACCTCAATGTCGGAGACTGCTTTTACTTTGTTTAACTGAACATTGTTATTTTTTTTTCATATGTATGCTAAAAACGTGATATTACTTAAACAGTGGGAGAATAAGCATGTATATGGCTATCATATTTTTTTATTTTATCTCCCAGTCTGTGTGATTACTTATGCCATGCCACTGTTTATGTTACATTTAACAATAAAAACAAATATATATAACAATGTCAGTGTGATGAAAAATGATTTTTGAGGTTTTGAAGATAACATTCTCTATTTACTAAAAATCGCTAATGGTACATGCTTTACTAATTTGAATTTATACAGTAAAACATGCTTAAAATGAATTGGTGCCAGGGACAGAAAATTTTGTTTCATAATAAATCATTAATTCGTTATATCCTTTAAGTTTTACAATATTTTTTAAAGCCATGGGAATGAAAATCACTTTGCTGTAAGTGTCAATTCGTTATAAGTGTGTTCGCTATAAGTGTGTTTTACTGTACATTAAAACTTCGAAAGCTTCTTGAAAAAAAAATATTGGAATATATATGAGTTTGGATGGTTCACCATTTGAATTTTTATATAACTTTATGCTATAACTTGGTGACAGAAAATTTTATGTCAAAAACAACGATAAAGGAACAATGTGAAATGGAATACCAAAATTCTGAATCGGAGAGAATTTGAATACTTAAACATTTGGGTTAGCATTTGCATTTAATGTAAAATGTGTACAGAGAGTGTCAGGATAAAGTGATTGACAGGGTACTTCTGTTTTATGTATGATCCCCCTTTTTAGCAGGGGAGGGGGGTTGTTAAAATTGTATAGGTCCCTTGAAAAGGAGCCAATTAGAATTGTCCTAGGTGTTTTCTAACATGCTAGAGAACTAAAAAAAAGTAAGAATCATACACAGGGCATCTAGGCCTTTTGGAAGATTTTTAGCTCACCTGAGCCAAGGGCTCAAGTGAGCTCTTCTGATCAAAATATGTTCGTTGTATGTCGTTTGTTGTTATCGTTGTTGTAAACTTTTCACATTTTCGTCTTCTCCAGAACCACTGGGCCAGTTTCAACCAAACTTGGCACAGAGTATCCTTGGGTAAAGGGGATTCAAGTTTGTTCAAATGAAAAGCCACACCCTCTTCCAAGGGGAGATAATTAAGAAATACTAAAAATTGGGTAGGGTTATTCTCGAGAACCACTGTGCCAGAAAAAATGAAACTTAAGTGAAAGCTTCCTGACATGGTGTAGATTCAAGTTTATTCAAAACATGCCTTCTGGGTTAAGGGTGGGGCCACTATGAGTGATCAAAATTTTACATAGGAATACATGGGAGAAATCTTAAAAATTCATTTTAGGTCTCTCTCTACATGTATCTCCAGATTTATCGTCTGTGTCAAACACCTCTAAAAACTTGAAGGATTTAGAAAGACTTGCTAAATATGATCTAGAAAAAAATAATGAATGGTAAAAAAAACTGGCATGTAAAATTTTATCCTGATAAGACCAAAATATTAATATTTGGTTGTAGAGAAGATGAACTATCCAATCTACATTTTAAGTTTGACAATCAAGAAATGGTCCCATCTTCTACTCACTGTCATCTTGGAGTTACGTTTTCAAATTCTGGGAAATAGACAAATCACATTGATAACATTATTAACAAGAGGCCCAGGGGCCACATCGCTCACCTGAGCACTTTGGCCAGGAGAAAGCAGAAATTTCAGCATAAATAGTTAGGTCACCTGAGTCACTCAGGTGACCTATTGCTATCCGTTTTTGTCCGTCGTCGTCCGTCGTGCGTTAACATTTAAACATTTTCAGCTTCTTCTCTGAAACCGCTCAACCATTTTCAACCAATTTTGGCATATAGCATCTGTGGGTGAAGGGGGACAAAAATTGTGAATTTCATGGTCCCTGCCCCCCTGGGGCCTGAGGGGTGGGGCTAAAACCATCAAAATTAATGCAATCTTTAAAAATCTTCTTTACTCCTGGACATCCAGCAGTCAAACTGTGGACATGATTGTATTAAGCATTGAGCCCTCTACCAAAATTGTGAAATTCATGGCCCCAGGGTCAGGGGTTCTGGTGCTAGGGCGGGGCTATATAGATCATATAGTGAAAGTGCATTATTTCTTTGAAAATCTTCTTCTCTACTCCTGGGTATTATTGAAACAAATTGAATACATAGTTATGATAAGCAAGGGTGACTCTACCAAAATTGCGAAATTCAGTGAAAGTGCATTATTTCTTTGAAAATCTTCTTCTCTACTCCTGGGTATTATTGAAACAAATTGAATACATAGTTATGATAAGCAAGGGTGACTCTACTAAAATTATGAAATTCATGGCCCCAGGGTCAGGGGTTTGGTGCTAGGGCGGGGCTATACAGATCATATAGTGAAACTGCATTATTTCTTCGAAAATCTTCTCTACTCCTGCGTATTATTTAAACAAATTGAATACATAGTTATGATAAGCAAGAGTGACTCTACCAAAATTGTGAAATTCATAGCCCCAGGATCAGGGGTTCTGGTGCTAGGGCGGGGCTATATAGATCATATAGTGAAAGTGCATTATTTCTTTGAAAATTTTCTTCTCTACTCCTGGGTATTATTGAAACAAATTAAATACATAGGTATGATAAGCAAGGGTGACTCTACCAAATTTGTGAAATTCCTGGCCCCAGGGTCAGGGGTTCTGGTGCTAGGGTGGGGCTATATAGATCATATAGTGAAAGTGCATTATTTCTTTGAAAATCTTCTTCTCTACTCCTGGGTATTATTGAAACAAATTAAATATAAAGTTATGATAAGCAAGAGTGACTCTACCAAAATTGTGAAATTCATAGCCCCAGGGTCTTGGGTTTTGGTGCTAGGACGAGGCTATATAGATGATATAGTGAAAGTGCATTATTTCTTTGAAAATCTTTTTCTCTACTCCTGGGTATTATTGAAACAAATTAAATATAAAGTTATGATAAGCAAGAGTGACTCTACCAAAATTGTGAAATTCATAGCCCCAGGGTCTTGGGTTTTGGTGCTAGGACGAGGCTATATAGATGATATAGTGAAAGTGCATTATTTCTTTGAAAATCTTCTTCTCTACTCCTGCGTATTATTTAAACAAATTAAATACATAGTTATGATAAGCAAGGATGCCTCTTCCAAAATTGTGAATTTCATGGCCCCTGGATCAGGGGTTCTGGTGTTAGGATGGGGCTCTATGTGTTATATATTGAAAATGCATTAATGCTTTAAAAATCTTCTTCTCTGCTCCTTGGTATTATTTAAACAAATTAAGTACATTGTTATGATAAGCAAGAATGCCTCTTCCATAATTGTGAAATTCCTGGCCCCAGGGACAGGGGTTCTGGTGCTAGGGCGGGGCCATATAGATCCTATAGTGAAGGTGAATTATTTCTTTAAAAGTCTTCTACTCTGCCCCTGGGTATTATTTAAACAAACTAAGTACATAGTTATGATACGCAAGGATGCCTCTTTCAAAATTGTGAATTTCATGGCCCCAGGGTTAAGGGTTCTGGTGAAAAAAGGGGGGGGGGGGCTCTATTGATTATATAGTGAAAAAGCGAAATTTCTCTGAAAATATTCTTTTCTGCTTCTGGTTAAAAAGCAAAGTGTATAGTTATGATGAGCAAGAGTGCTTCTTCCAGAGTAGTGAATTGCATGACCCCTGGGTCAGATGTGCTAGTGTAAGGGTGGGGCTCTTGATAATATAGTGAAAATGCATTAATTCTATTAAATAATCTTGTCTGCTCCTCAGTAGCAGATAAACAAAGTGATTACTTATGATGTGCAAACTTCTGGTCCCAGGGTGAGAGGCTCTGGTGTTTCTCGAGGGGGGGGGGGGGGGGGGGCTCTATTGATAATATAGTGAATCTGTAGTAAAAATGCACTATTTCTTTAAAAATCTTCTCTGCACCTGGGCATATCAGAGGCAAAAAGAGTAAAAGTTTTAATAAGGAAAGGTATTTTTACCAGATATTTGAACATCTGGACTATTTAGTCAAGTGTTCTGATTCTAGCTAGGGCACTATTAATTTGTAATCTACTGAGAGGAGTTATTCCCCTTTGCCATTTACTTTTGATAATTAATCACTGTAAATAATGTACTTGAAAGGTTAATAGAATAAGTGAATTATGCAAGAATTTTTATTGTATAATACAAAAACTACTTTCATAGTTTTAATGATCAGGTAGACTTGTAAGTAATAGATAAATAAAAATGAGACAAAAATAACTTGTCTTATTAAATGTTCATCAAAGACCAAGAGAGGCCAATGTAAGAGATTTCAACAAGGAATTAAGATAGTACAGAAGCACTGATAGTTTCTTAATTTACTGTATGGTGATAGTGTTAAATGGGGAACAGATTAGAACCTAATTTATGAACTGTTAATGAATGCTAGACTAATTACATTTTTGATCCTGATCACTCTATTTTTCTTGCTTTTAGGCAACAAAGCTTCACCTTTCAGTTCAATTTATACTCTATGGATCCTCTAAATTGTTGTATTATACTCAGGTGACCGTTAAGGCCCTTGGGCCTCTTGTTTAAATATGAAAGTGGTTTGAGGAGGGGGGGGTATGATTTGAACACTTGAATCTACACTTCCTACGAATGCTTTTGAAGTAATATGACAAATAACGGCTGTGCTGTTCTTAAGATGAAATTTTTTATTGATATATCCTTTATATTCATTTGTATAACCATGATCCCCTGTTATGGCCCCTCTATTCTCCTGGGGGTCATGATATGAACAAAGGACAAGGTATGGTAATGGCTGAATCTGGCCCCTTATGTGAACTCTGTGTATCACATAACTTAGAACCAATACACATTTTTTTGGCACAGGTGACAACAGGTTTCTATTGATAAATTCTTGCATCATTCTAAAATACACCCCAAACCAGGGGCCAAAAAGGGGTCTTGGCCTATCTTGTCCTTTAAATCTACTTTACCTGAGGATGCTTTTATATTATTATGACCAAGCATGGCTTTGCTGTTCTTGTGAAGAATTTTAAAGATTTTCCTGATGTATTCCAATTTAAAAATTTGATCGCCCATTGTGGCCCCACCCTACCCCTGGGGGTCATGATTTGAACAAATTTAAATCTACATTACCTGAGGATGCTTCCATATAGATATGACTAATCATGGTTTGGCTGTTCTTGGGAAAAGATTTTTCTGATGTATTCCTATG